GGGGGGGGGGGGGGGGGGGGGGGGGGGGACAAAGGGCATTCCACCGTAGTTCACCAGCTTACTAGGTCCAGATCATGTGTAGGCCTCCGTGGTCGGGTATTGATTGACACCCTTGGAGTCAATCCATTCTCTATCAACAACTCAATCAACACTCAGTCAACATCTCAATTGATACTTAGTCAACACTAGACCAACACTCTATTGATATCTCAATTGACGGCTGCTTGATGGTTGGTTGAGTGTTGCCTGACTCATATATATCAATTGCCACTCAATGGTGTGTCTGTGAAATTAGTCGACCCTCAACTGACTGTCAACTGAGATGTTGATCGAGTGTTGACTGAGTATTGATTGAGATGTTAGCTGAGCAGCAATCAAGATCTTTTTTTTGAACATCTATCAAGATGCAGAACGAGGGTTGATCAAGGGTATCGACTGACACTCGACTGCGGATGCCTTTGGTACACATGATCCCTTGGTTCTTGGCCCTCTTCTTGACTACAGCTGTAATGTTACCAGAATCCATTTTTATCCTCTATTGCTATTTAATTGTTTTAAACCACAACAAGGTTTAGATAACATTTGTCTCAATTGCCATGAGAAAAATTAATGAAGGATTCTAGTACTTTTAGTCAAATAAGGTCATTGTGCAAACCACATCTATTCAGCCACACCAGTTAGTTTATTGTTACTAAAACTATTTAATATGGATTTTAACATATGTAAATTTCCTTTGTAAAGGTTAGGATGCCTTTCCAAATTTTAGACACTTTCATTTTGATAGAGATTTGAAGTGTATACATTTTTTGAAAAATTGTTTATTTATTTCATACATTTGTTGATAATCACCTTTAAATTTGACAACTAATTTTATTCAACTATATAACAATAGTTATAAACAACTATAAATAAAAATAAAATGTCTTGAAATGTATCCATGGGGATCAGAGATCATTCTCAATATATTTGGTTTGTGAAAATATCAATAATTATTATTAAAGGAAGTTAAGAGAGATTTGCTGTGTCGAGAATCACAGCGACATACCTGCCAACCATCAAGAGTGAAAAGTCTGGTGGCAGATGAAAAGTAACCTGACAATTATGCAAAAAACTGGAGATTTGTTAAAAATGGTCATGAGACATCATTATTTAATCTCCATCAACATCTTTTCCTGCTTTATACACTGCTATTTTTGCTTATCTAAAAGGAAATATGTCTCATAAAGGCGAGGCCAGCCAACTCACACAAAAGTGATTTGTAAGCCTGCATATAATTTTTCATTTTTGGGTGAAAACAAACTTTTAAAACCATTATTTAATAATTTTTTCCAGTCCATATTTTTTCCAGAAAAACCAGGAGACTTCAGGTCTTCATCAGGAGACCATCAAAAATGACAAAAGAACAGGAGACTCCTGATCAACCCGGACGGCTGGCATATCTGCGGCAATATTCTGTAGCCTGTAACACAGAGAGTCTATAAGAGCTATTTATCAAAGATAATATTATTTTGTAACATGTCTGGTTGTACTGCACACTTTGTCCCCCAAAACGTTCTGAACAGTTTTAAATTTTATAGAGTACCAGGAGAAAAGCCTTTTTCTTAAAAGGCTGGTTAGTATGGAAATGAAACAGAGGCCGGAGACAGCCTATTTTGCTTACTGGTGGTTTCCTGTCTAAATAGCATGATGGAAATATAATAACAGAGGAGCTGCAACAGTACTTTGTACTGAAATAAAAAGTGTTAAAGGTCACCTTTACTGACATTTTTTTAGGCATTCCACCACTGCTTCTAAAATTGCCAGGAGTAATAGTTACCAAGTATCTCTTAGTAAAATAGTTATTAATATTTTTTATCTTCCTGTGACGAAGAAATTTGTTTAGTTAATTAGAACTTAAAATTAACCCTGACCAACCCACCCTTCCCATCAATTTTACATTGACGACAGTCCCATGACACATTTCGTACAGCACACAAAATATCCGCTCCATCACGTGACGTAACGAAGCAAAGGTGAAACGTAGTTACATTTGCTGAAGTTGGTGTTGGTCCAAAAAGTATATGTGATTGATTTGTTTGATCAAGGAGTTGGTGTGCAGGAAGGATAGAATGTCCAGCAAGTCAACGTTTTTAAAAGTTGTATTGCTTGGCGATGGTGGTGTGGGCAAATCTTCGCTGATGAACCGATTTGTGAGTGGTAAGTTCGACAGCCAGTCTTTTCACACAATCGGTGTGGAGTTCCTAAACAAGGACGTTACTGTCGAAGGACAATCGTATACCTTACAGATTTGGGATACAGCTGGTCAGGAAAGATTTAAAAGCCTAAGGACACCATTTTATCGGGGATCAGACTTGTGTTTGCTGGTCTATGCCGTGGACGATGTTGAGAGCTTCAAGAACTTGGCAATGTGGCGGAAAGAATTTCTGTATTACGCCGACGTTCGTGAAAAGGACAACTTTCCTTTCATTCTTTTGGGAAACAAGATTGACGTTAACGAGAGAGCTGTATCACAAGAAGAAGCACATCACTTCTGCAAGGAGATCGGTGGAATACCTTACTATGAAACCAGCGCTAAAGATGCAACGAATGTTGATGTTGCCTTCAATGCAGCTGTAAAGAGACTCAACGAATTAGAGCAAATCAAAGTCAAAAGTGATTTCTCTGCTACTGAAGGAGTAAATTTAGCTAAAGTCACTCAGAGAGAAAATTCAGGTTGCTGCGAATAATCGGTTCATTTGAATTTTTGTTTTACTTAGTCTTTTTCTTGTGAGGAGGTGCAAGGAGGGAGAGGGGGGGCATGTTGTGTTCTTTGTACCACTGGTGGAAATATCATTTTGAAGTTGTCATATAATTAATTTTAGATACTGGTACAAGAAGCAGCACCTGTGCTAGTTTATCACATCACTGATTTCATCATGAGATGAGAGTAATAATTAGAGGGCCAAAGGGGCAAAAAAAAAAAAAAAACCACTGAGATGAAATAACTGGAATGAGCAAAAGCTCTAAAACCACCCAGAGGAAACCAAAACCGAAACAGTCAAATTGGGCAAAATGAAGCAATCATGGATACGAGTGAAATCCATTGTATTTATTGAGAATTAGCCATAAACAGGCTAACTTGAGTGGTATTCAGACAAACTGGAGAGCAAGGAGACTGCAGACATGAAGACCTGTACACTCTTGTTAGTCAGAGTAATGGTTATAAACTTGCGTCAAAGTTAACATCATCTGGATGCAAACGGTAAAATTATGTTGTTCAGTAAGCAATCAGATTATAAAACAGTACCAGATTTGCCAGATATCCTCTCCAGGAAGAACAGCTATTGGATTAAATAAAGCTAGTTTGGAAGTGAAGAAATAATCAAAAAAGGAGATTTCAATGAATTTGCCATGAAAGTTAAGGTCAGATACCGCAGTAGAAACTATAAACTGAAAACTGCTCAACTCCAGCTAAACAATAGACTAGGTGATTAACATGATTCGACAGCTTGACACAGACCAACCCTCTCATTTTTGCACAATGTGAGAGGTGCTAGGCTATGAATGAATTTACTTTTCTTAAATTTTCTATTGATTTTCAAACTATGAATAAGGCAAGGGAATCACTTGTTTCCCAACTGGATTATAGAATATTAACCTACATATACACTAACCAATATCAATATTTATATTTAGCAGACTACTAGAAAAGCCTACTTCACCAATAAATATACCATTATTATATATGCAGCATGAGTACATACTAATTAACAATTAGACCCGTAGCCCTTGCGGGCTACAGATCAATAGCCCATGAGGCAAAGACTCATAGGCTATTGACTCGTAGCCCTTGAGGGCGAAGGGTCTAATTGTTTTAGTATCAGCCAACTAGTCGGACAGAAAAGGCAATAATAAAGTTAGCAAATGCAAGTTGAAGAAATATTTATTTGGGAATAAAACGAAGAAAAGCGTCACGCTCTATTGTGCCAATTTCACTACTCGAGGACTACTACTAATAGTCCTCTAGTAGCATAGGCAACTAAAATGCAGGCTTTGTATTAGTCCACTAGTTGGGTGATACTAATAAGCAATTAGATTATGAGCTTGAGATTTCTATCACGCGATAGAAATCGAAAGCAAATAATCTAATTGTTTTGGCATAAATCTACTCGTCGTTCAAAACTTGATCTAAATCCTCTTCACAAACACTTCGAAAACGTCAAGAAGCGGCTGTCACTTTGTTAACTAGGGCACACTAGCATGCTACCCACTATCTCCAACAGAATTGATAGTGAGTAGCGTAGCCAATCAGAGAATGGCATTCGTGATAGAACACTAGTAGATTTATACTAATACTGATTAGATGTTGTACAACTGTAAGTTATAGTCTTGAAATACTGCAGCTGGAGCAGTTGCTATCAGTTGAATGAGACTTCCCATATTCTGACGGTTGTGGTTCATGATTTTTCTATTGAAGTCCAAAGTAAACTGGTTACCAAGATTATTTCAAATGAACTTTCTCTGTGTATGAGTTGTGAGTTCTCCATGACCAATAAGCCATAAAATGTTATATAATGTTTTTATTATAGGAAAATGTTGTTTATTATTATAGTAAAGTTATTATTATTATGTAGAGAAGATGTCTGAATGATTTTTTTTTTCTTAGGATGAAATATTGTTTAGTAATATGTTTGTAGGTTGATGTTTAATGATGGCAGTCAACATAGTAATTGACATAGATTGACAGTAATTTAGCAGCAATAATTGACAAAAGTAACAACGGAATGTGTTGTTTTATAGTGTTGGTAACATTTGCACTGAAGTTACATGTGGATGTTAAAAATATGAGCAGTGGATTTTGTTCATTTGTATTAGTTTGAATCTCTTCTCTTGCACCTTTGAGATCTTGTGGGCCTGGTTGTTATAGTTAAATAAAGCTTATCCACTTATAGGCCTGGGCAAGGGGGAAGGGGGGTACTCCCTATAATGGCCTATTTGGGGCGGCTCTGTCTGAGAGGGGTGCCTGTTTCAGGCTTCAGATTTATAAAAGGGTAGGGATTTCACAAGTTGAGGTATACAAAAAGGTAGGGAAATCTGTCATTTAGTTATTTAAAAGGGACTTTTGTTAAAATGTTTCAAACAGACACACCGTATGGCTGTATCATTTCATTTTTTAGGCACAATGTGAAAGTGACAAGCTTCCTTTTTTGGCAAGTTTTGATAATACAGGCTCGTTATCAAAGTATGTGAAAAGAGTACCATTTTTTAATGAAAGGTGTGCAAAAAGGGTATCTTTTCTGTCAAAATGGTTTACAAGGGGTTGAACCTTGAGGCAGAACCTCTCCATATAGAACTTTCTAGTGTACCCCCTCTCTCCCCTAGGCTTAGAGGATAAGCACAAATCTTGATTTTAGGCATAACTATTCAGTGGAGTTTTTTAGTGTAATGTTAATATCTTTTACTTTTCCCCTCAGTTTCTATGTTTACTAATGTTTTAGAACTCCAGGAAACATTAGAGTTGAAAAACAATATTTTAGAAGAGGAAGATCCCCTATTAATTTTAATCGTGGATGAGCAAACTTAGATCTGATATTCACCTTGGTGCTGAATGATACATCTGAAGAGAAGATCAAATGTTCTTAGACTGCCATCAATGGACTTAGTTCCTGGCTGTGTGTAACCTGCATGTTTTTCTTTTCCTTTTTACATCACATTTCTGATACACGATGGAAATACATGACTACAGGCTGTATAAATATGTCCTCCTGAAAATAACTAATCCACTGAGCGCTTATTATTTAGAAATTATTGGAATCTGATTAAAAATGACAGCAGACCTCTACTGACTAAAAATGCATGTTTTTGTTATGCTGAAAGATGTGGATTATAAAAAATACTGTTCAGGAAAATATCCCTTCCTTACTCCACTCCACTAGAAATTCCAATATCTTCAATCGTTATGAAAATTTTGGCTTTTGAGATTGCCTAACCCCTCAGAATTTAATGACCTTCCACAGGTTAGGTATTGATGTATTCTTTAACTGCCTCTGGGGAATGTGACAGCTGTGTGATTAGTGTATTGAACTCCAGAATAAGGTGACTGGGTCTAAAAGACATTACCCCTTCCAGTGCTTTGTGATGGGGTGCAGGGAGGGGAGGGGGGGTTAAGGGGGCTGAAGATGAAGTTAATCAAAGCTTTTCAAAACTCCTCATGCTGATGGTTTTAACACTGATTTGGTGTCAATTGTTCTTCAACTGCAGGGCTAGGGTTATAGAGTCTCATTCTGGTGAAGGGGTCTGAGTGACAATGATATGGTGCATTTGCTTCCTCTTGCTAAAACATTGTGGTTTCTAACTTACTTTTCAGTGGGGGAGGAAACATGGGGTATGAACTGCAAGGAGTGTAAGAGATGTTGTTTCTGGCCTTCTTTCAAAATTTTCACGTTGCTCTTGTCTAGCTATCTTTTCAGTGACACTCCACATTATCATTGTAAAAAAAAAGTGACAGAAACTGAACAACTTTTGTTTTATGAATATGTAGTTTTATTGTTGTCTACAGTAAAATTCTTGCACTCTGATACAGGCCAAAAGCCTGTTTATTTAGCAATGTATTTACATTGAGGTGAAGTAATGATGAGAAAATAAAGTTATCTATTTTTTTTTTTTTAAAAACACCCGACAGTTGTACATTATGTTCACAACATTATCATTTAAGGCTAAAACTAACTTCACTCTGTGAAAAGCACTAAATTCATCAAACCCTTAGAGTCACTGGAAATTATGAAAAAAAAAGATCAGTGATCAATAAATCAATCAATCAATCAATCAATCAATGGTGACTCATCTTTAGGTAGATCCCCTAGTAACTTACGAGATAATGACACAAAAGTTGTAATCAAACAAGCTAGTCAGCCAGAAAGGTGTTGACTCTGGCACTGCTGCACAAGAAGCCAAAGAACAAGAAAGTGTATGATCAACTGCATGTCCATTCCCCCCACTAGTTTTTACATAACCCTCAGTTAATGATCAGAGAGTTTAAAAGGAACTGCTTATGGCCTCGAGGTTAGATAAGTTAAGTGCTTTTTACTAAAATAAGTGATGCATTCCGTATCATATGGTATTTACAGTTGATGGTTAAAACAACTTAAGTTACTTCCAAGTAAAAACTAAATTACAATGATTATTGGCAGGACATCATCACAGGCATGATTTCAAGATAGTTGCAACCATACCAAGATCACAGAATACTCAGCATGAACCGATTGATTTCATGAAACTGGACATCACAAAATCATGATTGTACATGGGCTTGTCTCACAAAGTAAAAGGATAGAAGTGGATAAATGATTATACATGTAACATTTGCCTTGAATTCCTTTTGAAATTGTTCAAATTCTTCATGGCGTCACAGTCTTTTATTATATACAAAAAAGATTTACAGCCAGATATGACTGTAAGTTGACAGTGCTCCCTTGCTAACCAAGCTTAGTGACAACATCTGCATGTGATCAAAGGTGCACAATCATGATAATTTTACGCAATTATGCATATTTTTGTGAATTGTGAGCTGTAAACTTCATGTTGGCTGTGCAACTGTCTGTCATCAAAATAAAGGCAATTTATTGTAACAAATGGAGATGCTTTTCACGCATTATAAATGACACTTGTCTAGGCAAATGTTTCTCAAGTTTGCCCAAATGCAAAAAGTTTTAATCTTCTTTGCCCATCCATGCTCCTCGTTGGCTTTCCTGTTTTTCATTTAATGAGTTTTCACAGAAGTTTGAAAGCTGTTATTGCAAAACTTCAGTTACAAATTCTATTCATATTTCATTAGTGCTGAAATTGCCCAAAACTCCATGACCTAGCTCAATTCTTTCCTAATCTGTCATCACAGATTGGGCGAATATAATTTTAGAGAGCTGCGATGTATTCCATGTCAAAGAACTCTTACAGAGTATCAGTTCATTAAAGAAGCAGAGAAATCAAATTGATATTTTAGGCACTAACAAATTATAAATGATATCTGAAAATAATTACAATTAACATTTTATAAGTTTATAAAGTTGCAATTTAAACAAAAATATGGCATTAATTCTTTTTTAAACTTAATTAAAAGCAACTGCCATTCTGACCAGTTGCAAAGTTGTCAGTGATTTACTTGAACATTAGATCTAGGGTCCCAGCAAAATACCCATTACCTCTATCACTTAACATTTCAAGGATGTTACAGGTTTTAAAAGTCATTGATTCTTTTAACAAAAAAAAGGAAGCTTCACCTGAATTTCCAGAGCGGCTGGTGGTGGTGCAGTTGGAGTTTAAAACTGCAAACCTTCCTAGAGAGGAGTGTGGATATTTGTCTGGAACAGCACATTACATGATGAATTATTGACTGAGCATGAGATCAAGAGGGCTGGATAATAGGCAAAATATTTGTTGTGTGTTATGAACTGAGATAGCCTTATGTCCCAGCCAGGAAGATGAGAATGAGTGGGTGATTGATAGACTGAGATACAGTCTGACCACAATCACATAAAAAGAAAACAAGATTCATATCCAGCCATCTTGACCAAACAAGCTTGATGAACAAGAACAAGGATTTATCACATGAATAAAGGACAACACTTTCCCTGTGGAATACAGGGAACAATCTCAAGGGGGCAAAATAGGTAACTGATCATGGTGAAGAGCTAGCCATGCAATAGAGAAAAATTCACAAAAAACAGAGGCCACGAAAAACTGAATACATGATGTAGAGAGAGGGATTTGAATCACTGAAGGCAAACTATTGCAGTAAAAACTAAAAAAAGCTAACATGACATCAGGAAAGGTAAACCCTTCACATTAGAAAATTGACTAATTCACAAATGTACATATCAAATGTATAATAACTAAAGAAAATCAATAGCTGGTTTATTTTGTAGCCAAAAAGATTGTGTGGACATGATCAAGAAAATAACAATATTGACTGCAAGACTGGTTATAAAAGAATGGCAACTTCAATCATCATAACAACAAATTAATGTAAAAAAGGAGAAAATATTTAGCATTACTTAAATACAATATTTATTGATATCTTTCTAGCTCAGCATCTATGTAATGATTAACCTATTTTGACTATTACTTTGTCTTAAGCATTACGTTACTTACATACATGTACACACCAGGGATTAATTAACTATTAATTAAACCCAAAACGCTTTAATTGGACATAAACTTAAACTGTAAGAAAACCAAAGTGAATGTTTTGAGCAGATCACCGCTGCAAAATCTTTAGAGCTGAAATTTAAGTCAAACAATATTGCAGCAACAACTCTGTTCACTTGTTTTGTCACGATTTCTTTGACCTGTTGAAAATATGAAAAAAAAAATTAGGAATTAAAACAAAACAAAACAAAACAAAAATAAAAAAAGCAAAACCAAGTAAGAAGTCATTCTGGCCAATCACAACAGAAAAAAACAAACCAACACACCAGTGAAAACTCAAAGTAAATACATGTAACTAACTGTATGTACTGGCTTTATGGGCAGGAAAACATGCGTAACTAAGTAAGTCAATATTGGTTTTGGTTTTACTTCTGATTGGATGACAAACTGGCATTAGTTTTTTAACCCCATTGTGTAGTTTGGTAATGCAAAACCAATTAAGTAAAATAATGCACATAACTTTTGTTGCATGTAAAGTGTATTAAATATTATTTCTTTCAGCAGAGATAATTCAGTGTCACGGAGACCACTTGCAGAGGTTACTGTTATTAATTACCTTGTGTTGCTGGTTCTGGTAAGTTCTCTCTTGCTACAAGGTGCATCACACTTCGTTTTCCAGTCTCCAAATTAAGAGCTGCAAACAATGAAACATCACTAATCAATTATTATTAAAGTATGTTATACCCTTCAATTAATATCACACCTTCAATAAGGCCACTCATTAAGCTTAAAGAGTCTGGCTACAAGACAAAGTAGATTTCAATTATTTAAGTGATATTTTCCCCAGCCTGTGTATTACAGCTGCTCTCCCTGAGAGAAAAATTGGAAAGAGCCTCTGTATATTGACCACAATAAATGTGTTCCTGGCATAAATTATCCATGCATTAAAACCACTTCAGTGTTGCAACAGCTGCTGTGATACATGGAGACCACAAAGAAACTTGCTCTCTGCACGTGATCTTTGCATGAGACAGTTAATGAGCCTTGAAAGTTTGAAACCGAGTATTTGCTGAGAGACTATGTCACCATAAAATGCTGCGGTTCTCCATTAATGTGCAGTGCCAGGAAATATCCATACTCCCCCCCACGGAAGGGACTGGAATTCCCTGGGGAGTGGTGGGTTCTGGAAGACCAAAAAATTTAAAGAAATGTATGAAGCTTAACTGGAATTTCCAGAGGGGTGGTCTTCAAAAAAAATCCCTTCCATGGGGGAGGTATGGATAATTTCTGGAACTACACAATTGGGCTTTTGAACTTCAAAATTCTAAATCTCACTGAAAAATTAAGGAACAAATTTCCATTGTGGGCTCTATGACCAACTACAGAGATATTTGACAATGCAAATAGTAAAACACAAAGTGCTGAGTTTCAACAATTTTCATTATTGATCATTAAACCGCAAACGATCAATCAGACAGTAGGGTCATTTTCCACACATTCTGTGGGAAACCACATGGCCATGAATATGATTATCAATGGTAAAGCACAGACCCTCTCTCCAATTTTTCCTGTTGGGGAAGACAGCTATAACACGGGTTGTATTTTCCCCAAACTAAGATACACATAATGCCCAAATATTCTTGCCTCTCTTGGCATGTAGTAAGCATTCCCACTCTAAATTGCTGTGGCAAAGCAATCAGGGGTTCCAACCTTATCAGGTACACTAACCTCCTAAAGATACATTCCCATGTAAAAACCGACCATGGTAGATAAGTTTTAATATGTTGTGTGAACTGACAGCTTCATCTGTCCAATCTGAAAACAAACAAAACTCACTGCCTTTTTTCTATAAAACAAAAGTTTAACTGAATACATGCTTTGGCTCAGTTAATTCTGACCATGAAACACAGCCAGTTTCTTGCGTGTGATAAAAATACAAACCTAATAACCATTGGCACCAACTTACCATAAACCATACCTGTAACTTTACTGTTCGTCATACACAAATCCAATTTTCACAGTGGCCAAATTGGTGTTTAAAACAAGAGCTCATGTTAGCACAAGAAAAGCACTCATATCTCAAAGGAAAGAAATCTCCTTGTTTGGAAACACCAATACAGTTAAAATGACATCATGTGAAAATATGCTCAAAAGTGTAAACAGTATGTATGTCATACAAAAAGCTGGATTTGACAGCTGTCAATTTAACAACCCACCCAACAATTTTGGAGGTGGGTGACATTATTGCACCTGTACACACACGCATTCAAAGGTGTAAAAAACCTATAATACAAGCAACACTTTTTTTTCTTGTAAAGATCAAGTTAGCTTTCCTAAAATTTTCTACAGATGAAAAGAAACATGTGTGAAATATGACGCCCACAGCAGTCTGCATATGCATAAACGAGACCACCCATTGACTGGTTTCTATGCATATCTGACAAATAAACATTTTGGAGATCAAAACTATTCATCAACAGCTCATTGGGATATTTTTAATTTGCTCTTCATTGGGCAAAAATGTTGACTAATGTACTGCATCATCCTTTACAGAGGTTTACAAGCATAAATTAGAATTCAAAACTACAGTTTATTATATTTAGAGGAACTAGCAACAAACCTTCAGGCCAGTTTTCGTAAACATGCTGAGTTATGTAATATGCTGTGTCACTTGGCGAAAACAAAAATTCATGTGTCTTTCCAGAAACTAGGATCAACCGTAGACAAATCTGAAAGACAAAGAGAACCAAGAGACATTGCATAAAACCTTGCTTGTCAATTTGTCGTAACTTCATCTGTATATAAAGTTCACTAAAAAAATATAAAAAAAAATCTGCTTAAATTATATACCAAATCAGCTGAAAGATGTCCAAACACTTGCATTAACTCATCACAACAATAACTACTAAATGTCGCCCCTTTCCCCATTTCAATTACCCACACTGCTACTTTAATATTAGTAAATTACCATCTCTATTCATTTATCACCATACAGTATGGTCTTAACATTGCTAATCCTAACGTATGCAGGACGTATGTCATTGTGATCACAGAAAATGTTCCTTCTCATAATGAGTGTCTCAGCACCTCAGTGGATAGAGTGCCTGGGTTAGTATGTTAGAGTTCATGGACTTAACCTGGCCAGGGACCCAGAATTTTTTTTTGTCCCGTGCTTGTGATAAGTTGAATATGAAAGGAGAATATAAAAATGTTAAAAACAATGAAAGTTTCAAGAATAATCATGTCTGTGGACTATGAAAATCCAGGCATACTGATTATGTAACTCAAGTCTCTTCAAATCATTCTTGCTTTGTTTTGGCTCTTTCTGTATGGGCACTTCACAATCTGGTTTGAACTGTAGATGTATATCATGTTATCAGATGCAGAATTGGTTTCAATCTCTAACAAAGCTGTCATGAGCCATGAGGAGAGATGTCTTTTAGAAAGGATATTATTGATTTCAAAATTAACTACCACAGCCTTGGTCAGTGCAAGCTGAAAATGAGCCTCAAGTACAAAAGGTGTTTACATGTAAGACTATTGAATGCTTTGATAAATTTTTGTCCGTAATCTAACAACAAATTTACTGACTTGATTCTTTGCCTGAGAAATCTAATTTTAAAGGAAAACAATTTTAATCAGCTAAAAAAGTTTAAATGCAGCACACAACTTAAACTTGAAGATTTTTGAAGACAATAATCACTATTGACTACAAACACACTGGAGATAACTTGTTACCAATTATCTGTGATCAAGAAATCAATAAAACATGGCTCAATAGCCAATCAGCACTCAATTCTACAACAACAGTAGGCCAATTTGATAACATAATTCCCATTAGGATTCTGGAATAAATTTGTGTGACTCTGTAGCAACTCAGAAAAGAAAAATTACAATTTGAAATCAGAATTGTGAGTTGTTTAATTTGTGTCTGTTAGCACCTCATGGTACAACACAAATTGCTAAGTAACAGGATCGTGAAAAACTCTAGAAAAAAAAACACCAACTGTGAAATGCTTTTGAAACTAACAAAAAAAAAAAAAAAACATGGACAGGATTTAATTTCTTTATTACAGATAAATGTTCTCTGTCAACAATGCAAAACCGTCTCCACTATTCAACAAGTCAGTCAAAAATAACATTTCCTTTAACGCATCTCTTGGGTATAAAAACGGTCGGTCCTTGTTATTGTTTACGAACACAAACACGGCAAAACATCGCGGATTCGAGATAAAATTGACAAAATTTGCGGTCGCGATCTAATATTTTCCACCGTCATCATGAGAACTGGCGTCAATTTGAATTAACGTGATGTTTATCGACTATACTGTCTAATTTTGATTCAAACGCTGTCAAAAATACAGCAACAAGCATTCACCAGAAGTGAGAACCAATGAATTATTTTGAGATTTAGGAAAACCATTTATTGCAGTTTGGGATTGCTCGATTGCCTCGCCAGAAGCTTTACTTTCGAACCAAAAGGCTGAAACGTGCAACGGAAATCAAGTTTCTACAAGCTATTTCTTGATCCTGTTAAACAGACGAAACCACAGCAAGCAGAAATACGAATTTGACGCACGATCTCTCCTGTATTTGACAAACAGCGGGATTTCCATTTATTATTCCCATGAAAGAATATCCCTTTCTGAAATAAAGTTTAAAATTTCCTCCAATGACCGATTTTCCCGGCCCTGTACAGACGACGAAGCGACTTTATCGTGCCCATTCGCGTACTTCCTAAAGCATAGTTCTATAAACCGTTTCCTAACTTCGCACATGTGGGCATGATATGATGAAAGAATGGAAAGGATAAAACAACTTTGTGAGGTAAGAAAAAAAATTGTGTTATCAAGATCTCGTTTAAAGACCAAAAGTGTCCGGAACTCGTAACTAAAATATGATTTATTGTAAGCTTATAATTCTAATCTTCGCGAAGCAACTTGTTAACATCCAGTGTCAGGCTGCGATCACAAGGCTATATATAATTCAGATCTAAAAAAGCGAGTTCTACCGAACAAAATTAAATCTCTTTAGTTGTAGGACAAGAAACACAACCGAAACTAGATATGAGTAACATTAAAACTACAATCAAGAAAGGGAGAGCGCTGAAAAATTCTCACCTTGTCCTCTGGTATCGCTCTATGTCGTGCCGTAACACTGTCACCCATACTGGGTAACCAGTGTCAAGAATGCTTCAAAGTCGTGACCAAGACGGTTCTTGAATTCGGTGAAAATCCCAAGGAAATGATCTTTATAACTTTCTTACAGGGATGAGAGTAACATAGGCACTTTGTTCGTGATTTACATGTCTTCTTTAACTCGATAATTCTCTTTCAGACATCGTAGACACTCCGCACGAAAAAATATTCCTTTCGTGTGCTGCAAGGAAGTCTGGGAAATTCTAATGACGTCAGAAGTGTCACGCGCCTCCTCAAAACACAATGGCATCTCGGCCGTGCCTATCTGCTCGTTGACCCGGCGAAGATTAAAGATTGTTTAATGAGGTGTAGGCCTTTAGAGTGCTGCAGGCAACTTTGCCATCATGTGATTCATAGGTAGGAATAAAACTCTTTACCCCGACTCCCTCATTGCTGCTGACACCCCACAAGGCCGCAACAACTTCCTGTTTCTGTAAACCTAAGTCTGTTCTATACCTTGATTCACGGTCCTTGCCCAAGGAAAGACCTTTCGTATGACGATACAAAAACCTGATAACGACTTCAGTGATATTAGGCGTGACAAAACGAAACTGTTTTTATGATAACAACACTGAAAACTCGGATCCAGAAAACTGGAAGGTTCCAGTTGCCTGCAGATGACTGAATCGACGTGAATGGTATAAACTGTCACGTTAGTTCAATTTTCCTTTTATTTCCAATAAAGTTGAGCCTCTCCACAAAGGCCACCGTGCGTGGGACAGAGGAAAGTGGCCGTTGTACAGAGGTGGCCGTTATGGAGAGGTAAGGATGTAAAATGACACCAGTTTTATTCGGGAGTGCAACATTGAAAGGGAATTTAGGCGAGACCGCCTTACGCGCAGCGTGATTTTGATCAACTTTGGGTCGATTTCCTGGCGCGTTGTTGACTTTTCTTCAGACATATGTCCTTGCACAATCGCTAATCGTCTCTTGGAAAGTCCCTGATATATTCCGAACGTAAATTCTACAATCTTGGTGACGCTTATTAAGTATAGTGAGTTTGTTAAGATTTAACCGGAAAAATAGGAAAACCACAAGCTGAACAATTGCATTCTCACAATTGATCATTTTTTGAGTTTCTGATCCAACGGAAAAATAAATTCTCTTTTTCCATTATAGTTAGTTATTGCAATCAGGAGCTCAGCTTCTAGGCTTGGTTAAATCTGTATATATTTAACGCAATTTCATTATATACTCTAATGCCTTCTGATTCTGAAATGGATGTGGAGTTTCTTCCAGCATGAATTTCAATCATTAACGGTTCTTTATACTTCTATCCTCTTTATTATATCCGAGACTGTTTTGACAAAAGACGGTGAATAATAATGAAAATCGAAACGAGTAATTGATGTTTCTGAATTACCACGAAACCATCTTGTTCCCTTCTACACTGTACCTATGAAAATGGCATTCATTCATTGATTGACCGAGCGCAAACAAGCGATCATTATTGTATGGCAATGACGGTTTTTACCAAAACACCGTTGACCGATAGTCTATTAGTCAAATTCCTCAGCAATGCTTTCATGCATAAGCCACTATTAAACATTTTTCAGAAGTGGAACGTGAAAAGAAACGATCTTGGTCCTGCTAAAGATAGCGGCGAACCGTGATTTACCACTGTAATTTGATTTTATGATATTTACCGTTGATTTATTTTCAGTGAAACAAGAAATCGAGGTTTTACTTTGGCTAATATTTACGCTGCTAAGAAACAACAAGCGGAAGCGTAAAGTTTCTTTATTCAAACATGCGTGCTTGTTAGTGTTTGTTGCACGGAGAGGCGGGAAAAACCAACAGGCGATGTAGTCATTCAATATCCAGCAACTTAATTGAGCATGATAAAAATAATAAAAAAAAAACCCCCGTGCACTGACTGGGAGTAAGAAAAACCACTATTTAAAAGTTCTAGAAAGTCATTGCAACTTAGTTGGTATGGACATGTAAAAAGGACGCAAAATACAATTGGGACTCAATTGGGGATTGTGAAAGAGTCTGAACACTAGCAAAGTGTAGAAAATTCAAACCTGAGCTAATGAAATGACTGACCATATGACCCACAATATCCCTACTTTAATGGCACTGGTAGCTTCAGGATTTACATGGTCACGGAATCACCTACAATCAGGCACATAACCCAAGAGGGATTGTTTCGCGCGCGAGTGTATTTACGAGAGAAACAAAATGGAACCAAACAAATTAAAGAGAAAACATTTACAGCGACAGTTTATTCCTTATCTTCAGAAGGGACAGCCTCGAAGAGCTTCTTACTTACCCCGGGTAGTTGGTGCTGGTTTTATCGGAGCATTATTGCTTAGGTTAGTGGAATTATTTTATCATGTCTCTTTGAAACAGCGTACACGCACGCACGTCATAAAACCGCAATGACGTCACGAGTCTTTTTTTTTCCGTCTTTCTCTTAGACTGTTACTTACTTTCTGTTTTGTTTTTTCCCATTCTTTTTTTTCTTACATTTCGCTAAGCTAATTTCTTTTTTCTGGAGCTGAGAAAACACAATTTTTGTCGAATTTCATTCTACTGCCCGATTCCTCATCTTCCATGCGGAACCGTATTCAGTAGTTGAAACTGGTTGAAACAAGAGATTATGATATTGGTTGAAAGGGGCGTACGCACCTCTCTTTAGAACCTGTGATTTCACTCGTTCCCTGCTTCACAAGGGAAAACGGGAGAAGGGGGGAAGGACATTCCCCACTTCCGTTTTTCTTCGGGGGGGGGGAGGTTGGGGTAACGGCTACACGTAGGTTGTCGTTTGATGGGCTACAGCAAGGTTTATTCCCGGGGTTTATTGTGTCTGTTTGTTCTGATGTTTTCTCAGCCAACCCTGTTCAGCCTTTTGGGAGGGCGTGACTTCTCATATCTGGGTGCTTGCAAACAATCCAACAAACAAGCAAACAATATCAGATACAAGAGGAAAGCGTCACTTTTGCTGTCTTTGCTCACCACCCCTCAAAGTGGTTTTGTCCAGAAGTCCCGTGACTGCTGAAGTGTGGTCAGCTGTGGTCAGCACAGCTCCTCAACGCGATTGTGCGCATTTCACGGGTCCCGGAAGCTGAAGTGCTCTATCGAAAACATGACTCATATGGTAAAGTTACTGGGGGCTTCAAAGATGTGTTCGTGATAGGCTTATGTTTTAAGTCCTTGCAAATCAAGCCTGCATTTCTCCTTGATGAATAGCGACATGGATCTTAGGAAAACTGCAACCATATAGCTTCTTATGGCTACCGTAAAACAGGACATTGAGGCAGTCAAAGAGTGGCTCTCTTCCGAAGTTAGGCTTGACAGGTATGCAGATAAACTTGAGTCAAATGGTTATACTTCCCTAGAGTTGTGTTGCACTCTCAATGAAAATGCACTCGATAAAATGGAAATTGTATTGCCGTATCATCGGAAGCGATTTTTGATGTATGCTGAAAAGCTAAGAGAGAAACTTGGCTTGGGATTAACGAACGGAGAAGACCGTGTCACCCGAAGTACGGGATTAACAAGCCATGGTCCCGAAACAGGAAATGAACAGCAAGGCCCTCTCATAAACTTTGATAACGAAGCCCTTAGTAGAAGAAGTTCACAGTCCGCTGATGATATTACCAGTGAAGATGTCAGCGCACCCATGCTCCCTCCAAAGAAAAAAGGTTCAGTCAAATTACCACCTCCTATTCCGCCGAGGGCTGACCTAGAAGAAGTGGAAGGTTCTGATCAAAGATCAAGGGGTGAAGATATTCTCACGCAAGATCCCCACCAACAAGGACAACAATTACAACAGTCTGAAATTCCTCCAAAGAAGATACCACCTCCTGTAAAACCTCCTAGAAGAACAACAGTTAAGAAACAGTCCCCTGAAAATACTGCGGAGGACATTTCAAAAACTGATGAACACACTTATACACAAGAACAGCATGCAATATCTGGTGGCCATGCCAACAATGCTGCAGCGGTTAATACATCAGAAGAGGGTGATGCTCTCCTTCAGTGTAATTCCACATCAGTCATTCCACAATTGCCTAAACCAGAGGAGGATAGCAAGGAGGTAACTTCAGGTGAAGAGGTCAACAAAGAAAAAACCATGCCACAGAGACCTGCACCAAAAGCACCTGAGAGAGCACCCTCCTCAAGACCGACACCGAAACCACGAACCAGAGTTAAGTCAGAAGACAACAAGTTAGTAGTGGATTTGCTAACTAAGAGTGCAGCAGGAAATGTTTCTGAAGGGGACTTCTCTGATCATCCTAACAATACTATTGAAAAGAGGACAAACTCATTTTCAACACCTGGTAACAGGAGGATTGATTCTTCTGAAGAGAAACCATCGACAATGCCTAGACCTGCATCAACGAAAAGACCAGCCCCTCCTGTCCCACCTTCCAGGCAATCTGGTTCAGTATTTGGGAGGGAACCAGCTGTAAAAGTTAAAGGAGAAAATGAACATCAGCAACAGCCAGGTAAAGCTTGCTTATTCCTTGATCTTAAAAACAGGAATCCTTTTCTACTCCGTCTTCATTCAGTTTGGAAATCTTTGGTAATAGAATGCTCCATGCTCGGCATGATGGCGTCATTTGACTACAAAAACCAAAATCCTTTACTTCAGTCTGTTTCTTATGCTAATTAGGGCAATTGTTATTTAAACCCCACTGGGACTTCAAAATTCAAAAAATAAAGGAAAAACGAAAGGAATTCTGGTAGTTGTAGTCAAATGACGACAACATGTAAATCTGCTATTCTTGTATTGTGATCTTAAGGTGGCTCAAAACAGCTTCCAGCACTTTCCAAGACGTATATTTTCATGAGTCATTTTAACCACTCTTTATCAATTGATACTACAATCATGGTATCAAAAAAACTGTCCAATCATCGGTGAAGATGTTGTTATCATTTTCATGACACATTACATTACCATAGCAACAGTATAACCTTCTAAAAACACCCTTAATTATAGCTTCAAGAGCATATAATTCAAGAAATCGCACGGTGAAATTTTTTTATATTATCAATTTTGATATGCAGAACAAGATGCAACTTTTGGCAAAGTTTAAAAAAAATTTGTCCACAGGGTTCAGAGCCACCTTAAATTTTCAAAACTTTATGTACCACCAAGCAGAATGCTAGGGTAACCCTGAGATGGTCTAGAATTCCACACAGGGAAGTACACATACTTCCACATGGACTAAAGATGGTCCACTAGTCTGTAAGACAGACATTGGCTTGTTACCTTGTGAGACCTTCAACAAAGAAATCCAGTGGTTAGACAAATATTACCACCAAAGTCTAGGGCACATACATGTATTCTTTTCATCACAAGAAAAAACCAATTTCTATACATAAAAATACCAAGTTGATAGTGTTCAGATTTCTAAAATTTTACCTCCTGTTTTCAAGCATTAAAGACATTTTTGACTCGAAAATACCAGTCATTGGATGATACCTTACAGTGTGTTAACTTAAACTGGGGCCACCCAGACAATGAAAACCAATCAGATGGCAGAACTGAAACAACAGATTCCAACATTTTCAAATGGAACCAATTAAATGTCTGGTACAAAACAATGAAATCTCAACTTGTTTATTGTGATGCTTACACAACTATGGTGTCTGTTAATAATTTGTCAATTAGCTCAAGTCGTTAGTACTTTCGTGTCAGAAAATATTTTGTTACTTTACTTTAGATTTTATTGACAAACGTGATAAACTCAGTGGATCGATTGACCATTTTCCACTTTGAATGTGTGTCCACACAAAATATCATTTTTACGGCTGTTATTTAAAATCGTAGAATAATAGATTTGATTTTTTTTTAACAAAATAAATTCTGCTCCTGTTGTCTATGCGTGTTTCTATTTTTACACAGCTTTCAGTTGTCACAGCAGACTGTAAATTCTTGGAAAAACCATTGGGTTCACTGTCTCAGCAGCTGTACTTTTCGGAGTTTGAGCTCCCTTTCTGGGTTATCAGTGTATTGAAATAACATCTTCATCAAAAATTTAAATGAATTTTTTTTCTGTGTTGTACTATCAAAGCCTCAGCGTGTAAAATCACTCAGTTGAAGGTAAAGTCTGCATATGAACAAAGTGGCCCATCAGGCGAGAGCTTATCCCTTTTTTCCATAGCATGAAGCAACTAGGAGTAATTCTACTCCCCCCTGGATGGGATATTAGTTCATCGCAGGGTTACCTGCAGCATTATATTCACTAGTACCCATTTATACATCTGGGTGGAGAGAGGCACTGTGAGAGTAAAGTGTCTTGCCCAAGAACACAACACAATGTCCCCAAGAACACAGACAGCTCAATCCAGGGTTAGTGTGCTCATCCCTGGAGGCCACTGCATAAAATCACTTAGGCAAGAACTAAAGACAATGGTGCCATGCATAGGAAAAATCGAAGATATTTCGAACAAAGAATTCAGGTTACAAGACCATTTTTGTGTCAGGTTAACTTTTCAATTCTCCTGCTTTAAGTTTGCATTCAGCTCCTTTCAGCTACATAGAAAATAATCCCTTTCCAATTCATACATTTCGAACCTGCGCACATGTGAAACAACTCAGAGACCATTTCAAGGGTTTCTTTTAAACAACCGGGACAATGTTCAAACCCTACGGCACACGATCTGCTGGCAATATATAACCACGTAAGTATCATAACGAACAAGTTGAGATTTCATTCTTCTTAAACCTGCAAGCACACGAAACTACTACCAGTTTGAGCTTGACATTTTATTATTAAGCAACACCATAATCACGTGAGCATCATGACGAACAAGTTTAGATTTCATTGTTTTGTATAGGAGATTTGACTGACTGGATTTAAAAATAGGACATTTGATTGGCTGGATTTGAAAATGTTGGAATCTATTGTTTTAGTTCTGTCATTTGATTGATTTTCATTGTCTGGGTGGCCTCGGTTTCCATAAATACACTGTAAATGATTTGTTCATTTTATCAGGTGTTCCCCAGGGGATATCTAGGCCAGTTATAGATCACGCTGGACCGACTGAAGGGCACACATCAGTTGAATCTGCTCCTGCAGAGGGATCAGGGGAGAATTCTTCCATTTATGATCTAGTTGGGTCCACAGAAGGCCATAAAAATCCTGATGCAGGGGAAACTGACTACGAAAGTGATGACTCTTTAGATGGACTGGTTGATGATCTACCAGAACAACTGGGAAAGGTACTTTATGTTGTAGTCAACATTGAAGGAGCTAGTTGAATGATTTGTGAAATCACTGTCAAGCATTGTGGTCATTGACTGTAGTTTTTTTTTAGCCTGGTACTGTGGGTCTCTCAGAACAAATATTTGGTCAGAGGGGAGAATTACATTTTATTCCCAACTACACCATGGTAATCACATATGGATATAGCTTCATTTTATGCTGGTTTCTTAGTAATAGAGGTTACTATAGCAGTGACAATTATGTCATTGTTGATTCTCTTGAAATCGTTTCTGAACTTCATATCTGTTCCTTAGTATGATGGTCACAACACCTGTAAATGCATTTTCGGTGCAGCAAGAAGGATTTTTGTGGTGGATTTTGTTGTTCTCCTCATTGGCTGTCAATTGAAGTCATAGCTTACTCTTTTTTATTTATTTAAATATTGTTGATATCAACAAATACTCAGATCTTTACTCTAAATACAACAATATAATTTCTTTTTTTTCTCAGCAATTAATACTCTAAGAGTTATTAAAATTGAAATCGTAAATGATTGTTTCTTTTTAAACAGTTATGTTCTTTAAATGTAACTTTTTCTAGGCTTAACCACTAATCACTATTGCCCCTGCCGTCTTGAGGGTGGTTTCAAGAAAATATTAGGATAAAACTTACAGTATTTGACTGAGGGGAAGGAAAGAATGTTGGGAAGTTCGAAAAATCGAAGGTTTGACAGTGCTCAACACTAACGCTAGCCTACTAGCCCAGGACTAGTAAAACTCCATGCTGAGCCAGTAAAAATACACTCCTACTTGCCCCTAGACTAGTTACATGTAGTTTCGTGGAAAAATATATTTACTGCAACCCTATTACTTGGGAAGTTTTTTTTTTGTAGAAGGTGTGTTTTTTCAGGCCTGTTTGGGACCAGTGGCTTTTTTGCTTACTAGCCCACTGCCTTGTATCCAAAAAAGTTAGTGTCAAGCACTGTTTGAGAAATTGGGATTCCACTGTACTGATGCACTGGCTACTGATTAAATTGTTTTTAAGGTTTTTTGGAGTTTGGAGTTAAAATCTATTACAAGGAAAGCCAAATTTCATGGTTGTGGTGGTTGCATTAGATGGGCTCTCATTAGGTTTGATATTTTGTTCCTTGAAGACCTCTAAATGATATCAACCATCTCCATGCTGCTGTTGCTCTTCCTAAGCAGCCTCTCATCTTCTTTTTAAATATGCCCTTTGGACAAATAGCTCTAAAAGTTTGCTCCCTGGGCAAGTCTTAGTTTGCTGCTTTTTGATTCAGTTGGCTGACAACTTACCTGAGCTCTTCCTGTTGGGCAAGTGAGAATGTCTTGTGGGAAAATCTTCTCATCCTGGACAACTAGACGGCACTTTTTTTGAGTCCTAACATCACTGTGAACATTACTTACTTTGCATATCTTTACACAGAACCTGTGAATTTGGGGAATTTGTATAAAATGATAATCATTGCACCTGTACTAAATATACAAGGAACAAGATCTAAATAAACAAAATCCTCATTATCAGGAAGTAAAAGGTGGTCAAAAATTAGCCAACATTCATTGTTATTTTCCAATACTTGCCAGGGTAACCTCTGTTACTAAGGAACCAGTATATAGCAAAACTTTGGTAGGCTGCCTCATTTTTTATCTCTGTGACATAGTGTGGCAAAATCAAAGGTTTACCATCCTAGCAAATGTTTTATGTCAAAACCCCCATCCTGAGGTGGAGTAACCTGATTCAAATTAAGCCTCCCAAGTTTCTTACATCAAACTGAGCCTCCTTAGTTTCTTAATTTCCTAATTTAAATTGATCAGTGAGATGTTTTCAACTTTGTTCATGGTGTTTGTGGGTGGGATTAAAGGTCTACAAAATGTTATCTCGACTTCAATTGCTGCTTTGTGATCTATTAGGCCAGAGGTGACAGTCTTGACAGTATTGATGAATCTAGGATGTCCAAAAATATTCTTAGTCCAAGGGTAAGTGTGCCAGTTAGTCAGTCTGACTACATACATGAATATGCTGTAGGTTAAAATGAATCTCAGGTCAAAATGATTTCAAACTAGTTTGCTTTGTATTTTAATTGTTTAACTAGGAACATGGTAATAAATCTGGAACAAAGAGACATACAAATCAAACTAGTTTAAAATCATTTTGATCTGAAATTTATTTTAAACTACAAGATATATATCTTTAGGCATTTGTTGCTTGACCTGTGAAATATGTGCAGTTACCAAGTAATGACAATGTTTTCATCATTTTCTCTGTGAAATTATTTTAACTGTGGTATCTCTTTATCAAAATACTCATATATTTGGCTAACAGTGGTCAAAAGTAGTTGAAATACTGTTGAAACCACCCTACAAATCAGATATAGGTAAGTATTATTCTTCAGTCCTATGCTTGTGATTGTTACCAATGTTTTTTTCGTGTGCGATGTTGTAAAAAACTTTTGTTGATGCACACAGGTTCGCAAGAGTGAAGGATACCTTTGGAAACAAGGAGGGTGAGGTTTTTCAATGTTTACTTCACTCTGATCATTCCTTGTGCAGATAACAAAATGCTAACTTTCTCTTACTGTATCTGTCTAAAAGTCCTGTCTAAATATTTGCAATGTAGAGATTTTTTTTTTCAGAAACAGGACTATGTTATTTCTCAAAGTGCAAGTTATGTTTTTCACTCAGGCAAAAGAACAATAAAGGATGGAGAAAACGTTGGTTCATTTTTGATGGGGTGGATTTAAGATACTTTAAAGATAAGGTAACTGCTGACATTCAACTGGAGCAAGTTATTTTTTGCAATAAATGCACAAGAATGACTGATTGTAGTCCCAGTGTTACAGCTTTTCAGAGCTTTTCAGAGCATTTATCCATGAATTCCTCCACCAGCTCTTAGCTTAAATAACATCAGGATGTTTTTGATTTGTGGAAACCTTGATAATACTGAAATCTGCAATCTACAGTACACCCTCAAATGAGATGATGAACATTCCTGTCCGTGTCATATGAGAGTTTCCCTGGGCTTTTGATTTTTCAGTGTCCACTCCTGTTAACAAGCTGAACTACACTGTATCCAGCTTTTGTTCAACTTCCAATTCATTTATTCACGTATATTCAACTTAGAATTTATTTTTTTTAGTTAACAGCAGTTATGCCTTAAACCAAAACAACAACAGCAACAAGAAAGCAAGAAGAAAAAGAAAATGAATATGAAATTAGGAGCAGAAGCTTTTGAATGTTCACTCAACATCTTACTGTACTGACAGCAATCATTTCTGTGCAATCTCTTTTCAGGATTCAACACATGAATCCCTTCATATAATTCCTGTCAGTCAGATAAAGGACATTGAAATTGTCAAAGATGTAAGTGTAATTTCTCTGTTTAATAATGATATGTAATCAAACAGGCAAGTGATGAAAAACAAAAACACAATGAAAATTGTCATCTGGGGATTACGTCTTAATGTATCATGTCCTAATAATTTTCTTGGAAGTCTGGTTTTGAGATAAGGTGAACAGTTAAGATTTCAGCATTAGCTGGGAATCTGACGTTCTTTGTTTCTTAAGTGTGAGAAGAAGGTGGGCTCATTTCCTGAACAGTGGCTGGTATTCAAGTCTGTTGTCATTGTTTTACAATGAGTGAGACTGACCTATCTTTTTGGACACCATTGCATTTCCAGAGTAAAAATCCTCTTCATGCTGGCTGGGCCATAAGGATGTAGGAACACCATTACACTCTAGAAATTTAAACTGTTAGACAGTAAAATATGTCTTTTTGTATCACTTGATTTTGAGAAATAATTAACCCAGCTTAATCCCTAGTATTTTGATTCAACTTTTGTAAGTTTCATGGACCTAATAAAGGTCTTTATTTTTCCTGAAATTTAAAGGCACGACAATTTTCATTTAGAGGTAAGAGGTAACTATTTGGGCGACGTCTTGCATATTGTTTTCTAATTACTGTATTTTCTTTTTATTTTATTTTCAGGAGAAACGAGCAACATTCAAAGTCATAACTCCAAACCGGATATTTATTCTCGCATCAGAAAACATCAGTGAGTTATCCCAGTTGTTATTTAAATGTATTTTGAACCACTTTTCCCATGACATTTTTTTTATATTAATCTGTTCTTTTCTATGTATTTTTCAATAGCGGAAATGAATCTTTGGTCTCAAACCCTCATGGAGGCAATCATCAGCTTCAAGGTAAAGTTTGTATTGTAATGTCAGACAATGAAAAAGACTGACATCTCTAGTGAGGAAATTACATACAAATTTTCATTTTTTTGTTTGGAAATGGAAGAAATTTATTTGATGTAAATATAGGTAGAAGTCTAGTTTCAAAGGAGACTGTTGTGCAGTGGCGTCTTTAGGCAAGAGAAACACTAAGATGGTTATCAACTTGCAGCTTAAGCTAATTAAATCAACACCATGGGAAATTTGAAAACATTTGACCAGAGCAGTTACAGGGCTGCATGTTGACCTCAACCTGTTGATTGTGGCAGGGTGGAGGATGTTTGCCACATTTGAGTCTACATGTAATTAAATGGCTTAGCTATATGGCTTAGCTCCACAAGTTTCCTGTAGGTCAGTGGTATGGCATACAACCAGTTGGAAAAAGTTGTCACTTTTGTTGGGAGAACTTGGAAGTGTTTTTTTGAACACCATGTGTCATTTTTAATTTAGTGTAGTCAAAACCATAAGCAATTGAAAGCAACCACTCTGATCAGACAATCCAGTGAACCAATCAGAACTGACACATTTTCCTGCAAAGTGCAGGAAAATGTGTGAGAGTGTTTTACTTATGATTGGATGACAAAGTAGTGTGAGTATTTTTAACCTATTGTGTTGCATACTATATAAATATTTCTTATTTTCTTTCAACAACCAAGTGAAAACTCCTTTAAATTTGATTATTTATTGTTTCTGTCATGTTTTAGGGTGACAACAAAATGTGGAAGAGTGGGGGAGAAATGAGCGATCCAGACAAAGAGGTACTGGCAGTCTGCTTGTTTTACTTGACTGAGTATAGAATCTTTGTTTTAAGTTATATCTCATGTAGGCAAGGTAAGCTCTACTTAATAAACATTGCTTCTTTCCTCTCGGGAGCATATTTTTTACTTGAGTATAAATCTACTAGCATTCTATCACAAATGCCATTCTTATTGGCTACGTTACTCACTATCTATTCTGAGTAGATAGTGAGTAGCCTACCACTGTGCAGTTGTTAACAAAATGGAGGCCGCTTCTTTGCATTATCGAAGTGTCTGTGGAGAGGATTTAGATAAAGTTTTGAACGACTAGTAGATTTAGACTAACACAGTTACAATAGATTATTCACTCTTGTTTTCTAATTATGCAAAGTAGTTGACTTGGGCTGTGCCCTTGTCAAACACTCATCAGCATGCCAATGTGTTAGATGAAAAAAGAAGCTGGAAAATGCACCAAAATAAGAAACAGTGTATTAGATATCTTGTGCCTAAAACAAATTTATTGTCATGGTTTTACATCTGTTTCAGGGATGGGTTAAGAAACAAGGACACAATGTTGTTGCAGATTGGAAGAAAAGGTAAAAGTTGAATTAATTCCTTGCTGGATAAGACATTCTTAAAAAAAACAGTGGTTATTCTTGGTGTGTGGATATCCCAGTAATTGTTTGTTAAACTTGGCTTATTTCCAGATATGTTGCAATCAAAGACGACAAGATCTGTTACTATGACACATATGAGGTGCGTTTTTTGTTTGTTTGTTTGTTTGTTTTTTGTTGACTTTAGTATATATATCTCGTAACTAGTTGATGTTTTATATTTGTTACATAAAAGTACCTGAAAGTATATTGTGTTATTTCCACTAGGACTTTGTTTATGCAACACCAATAAACTGTATCAATGCTAAACTTGCCAATGTACGAAAGGTTGAAGGACACAAAAACAGATTTGTGGTAAACACAAACAGTAAGGCTTACAGGTTAGTCTGTGTAACAGCCACTATTTACATTGTTAATGACTTGTACATCTCACTGTGATCATCAATAATGTTGTTGTGTAAACAAAAGTTGAAATAAGACTCTAACTCGTGTTCTCAAGATTATCAAATTTTCCTTCAGAGTCCTTGTAAAGTTTCTCTAGTTTGGGCCATGCTTAGCTCGCTGACAGTTGAGTAAACTCTTGTGCAACTTTTATTCTTCAACTCTCAGGCCAGAAAAAAAAAATAGAAATCCACTTGCCCAGGGCCAGTAAATTTCAATTTTCACTTGCCCCCACTTACATATTGCTTGCTGATGTGGCGCCCAGTATGAAAATCAGAGGACAAACGCGAACCAAGTATGCTTGGATTCCTAACTAATCCATGCTTTCAACCGATGGTTAACTAATTTTCCAGTCTTAAGGTTTGAAATAGCTTCTGGCTGGAAATTTTCATTTATCAAGCTGGCATTTTTATTCAGACTCACAAGACTACTGAGGCTAGTTTCACTCGCCCACCAGGCCACTGAACTTCTATTTTCAATTGCCCAAGAGCAAAATTTTCTTGCCCTGGCAACCAGACCTGGGTTTTTTTCCTGCCCTGACTCTGATGCATTCCCATTGTTTTTTCACCTCAGGCTTGCGTTTGTTTTTCAGCAGGTTAATTATCTATGTATTGTTCTTGTCTAAAAGAAAGCCATTTAAGGTCGGTTACTGATGTTTTGTGTGATTGTCCTTGCTCCTTAGTTTTCAGGGAGATAGTGAATTTGATGCGTCCTCCTGGATTATTGCCATTGAAACAGCCATCCAGATAGGACTTGGAGATAGAACGGTAAGAGAGACTTCTGGAGTCCCTTGAAATGACTATAGATTCATCTCAGCCTGCAGCAAGAGGGATAATCATAAGACTTCTTTGCATTATATTTAGTAACAGTATGATTGGCTATGGGAATTGTTTATGGATAAGAAAATTTTTCCAGCTGGAAATAGAGGAAACCATTGAGGGGAATTTATATTTTAGCCATGGGGTTAAAGAGAATCGCAATTTAAGATAATTTAAGAGCAATAATGGCAAAAATAAAGTTACCAAAAAAGCCTCACAGCATGGTAATGTTTTGAATAAAGGTAAGAAGAACTTATCAAGACTTAAGCTCTCAAGCTGACCCTGCGAGAGAAAATTGAACTTGAAGTTATCCATATTTCAATTAAAATGGACGTTTCGTGTTAGTTGAAAACACAATAACACACGCATTAAGCATACTTACGAGGTTTGACATTACCTTTTTTGAGAATGCTTGAGAATTTAATCGCGGGGTCATTTGAGAAATTAATTACCATAAAGTGAGATGTTTTAAATAGTATTAAAAAAGTTTCCGTGCTATGAGTAGAATTTTAGTTAGTAATTTTTGCACTTGTTGCACGAACTTTGAGCGGAATCCGTCTTAATTACAGTCACAACAGCTTTAAACAAGGTTACCTGGTATACCACACATGTTTTGAAGGAGATACCAGTATGCGTAAAGACCCTTAAATCTTGGAGTGGGTGGCTGGGTTAGTCAGTGCCACCCATGGTTCATGTCACATGTATTATACACTCTACCCTGGGTGTATTTACCTCAAGAGTCTTGACTGAGTAACTAACTGGTTCACCTTACTGTTGAGGTGCGTGAGGAAAACTGCAAAGAAATAAAGCCAAGAACAATGAATTCATGCAATGTTGTGGAACAACATCGGCAAGATGCCCGTGCAGAAAAATGCTACTATCGTCAAACCGATCGTCTCGGCTTTCTTCACTTTGTTTTTAACTTGCTTTCCCACAGAACGTTCTGCGTGAATACTATAACTGTAATAATTACCCCTCGGAGCAAAGAATGATTCTTAAACTCCGATCTGAAAATCGTGCATTGATCACCTGACAAGAAGCGGTATCTTTTCCATGTACAGAAGGTGATGGTGTATTTTTCGAAAAGAAAGGATGTGAAAATGTTATCATTTTTGTTTGGCTGATAACATAGGGTCTTCCGTTGTTTTCCATTGCAGATTCTTGAAAAAGTTTGGGAGAACCCCAGTAATCGAATTTGTGCAGACTGTGGCATGAAAGGTAAGACTTCAAATATAACACGAAGAAAGGTGAACTTTCATTTCACAGCTAAAACACCAGGCTTTACCCACTTGTTAAATGTTTGTGTGGAGGTGTGGTAACCTGATGGTTAGTGCGCTTAACTCCTGCTTGAGTTCTCCAGGTTCTAGCCCTGGCCAGGCACATTGTGTTGTGTTCCTGGGCAAGACACTTATTTTTTAGTCTCATGGTACCTCTCTCCACCCCTGTGTACAAATGGCCGTGTCCCGGCAAATTTAATGCTGGGGGGTAACCCTGTGATGGAATAGCATCCCATCCAGAAACTGCTACAGAAACCAGAGATAAACGCCTACCTGATGGGTGACTTGGCTTGTATGTAGACTTTACCAACGTAAACCGGTGGACGTTCTGCTTAATAGTAACTTTGTTTTCAATAGTCAAGCGCAATGTTTTATGAACAGGTAAAGTATTGGAACTGCCCTGTGCATAAATACGAAAAGCAGTGCACATGCAAAGATAGGCTCGATTACCAGCTGCTGTTCGGGAAAGGAGCCCACGTGGACCAGACACGAGAGAGCAGCGGAAATTGAGCCTACTGAAAGGATGGCTTTCATTTGAATGGTTGTTAGAAAGGATTTCATGCCCAGAGTCTAAGTTAAGAGTTTAAAATATTACTTAAACTTTAACTCTAGGATTAATAAAAGTAAATAAAAATATAATTGCTTTTCAGATTGTAACGTCAGGTTCACAGCGACTGTTGAAAGGCTGAATTGTCACTTGCTAGACAACTTGTCGCGATGAGACTAGCGTGTGTGGGAGATGCTTTACTAATCGAATAAAGCCAGAGATCACGGAAAATCAGTTGTGATTGACGGTGATTTAATTGACGATAATCGAACGTAAACTGAAATATAATGTAATGAATAAACTAATTACTAGATAATAGAAGATTACAAGATGACAAGAGTCACGAAACAATAATAGCGAACATTCCAATCATAACTGCGATGTGACAATACTTCCAGTCAAACTTCCCAGTAAAGATACAATTAAAATCATCAGTGATCCCAAGCAGATACGCATACTGCTAACTGTCCTAATACAATA